CGTCCAGCTACGACAATCAAAGAATTTGATACTATTAATTGTTAATTTATTGTTATGAACAAATTATAAACACAAAATAATCAACATTTAATTGTTTTATCATTTCATTTCACGTTTAAATGCAAATTTATAATAGTACATTTGTTCAATAAGTGAGGTTAAATCGATGTGACGTTAAGTTTTTGACATAACATTAAATGAATTCTAAATGTCATTAATGTCATTATACAGAATTTGGTCTTTTTATTAATTTATAACCTTAGAATAAGCAGTTTTCGAAAAAATGTTGTTTGATACACGACAGCGAAATTCTTTTGCATTCTCGAACGATTTTTTTTGCTCGCTAAAGCTCGCAAAAAAAACTTCCGTTCTCGAATGCAAAAGTGTCATTTCGCTATCTTGTATCAAAAATAACTATTGTTGTATCTAATACTAATGTATGTATTTAAAAGTTAATGTTGCTATGGTGATAACCATACATACATACTATGATGGAACATAAATGTATCAATTTTTTTTGTTCTTTCTAAAACTATTGTATATATTTAAAATGTAATGTTGTTATGGTGATAACCATACCATGATGGAAAACATTGTTTCCAATAATTGCTAAAGTTTGTAATAGTATTTAAAAATTCACTAACAACTCTGGCATTATGTGCTGGTGCTCCGTCATATTGAAAATATATCATTTAACATATTTAATGGCAAATTGTCGACCAAAGGCTCAATGGGCTGCCTTAATATATTGAGGTATTTAAGTGAGTTTAAGTTTTTATGGTAGATACTATATGCCAAAATTCTATTATCTAAAAGGGCACACCATACATTGAACCCTGATCTTCTTTGAACACTCAGAGACTTCATCGGTCTAGATGGCATTTTGAACAAACAGCAGATTATTTAATTTTTCTAAATATTATCTACAAAATTCTAATCTTAGATTGACAGCACGTAAATAATGAGTTAGGCCCGCTTTGTATGGTTTATACTTATTTTTCTTTCATATTCGGGAGCAGCGGCTTTTCGGTCAGACGTCTTGTTCAATTTCTCTGCAAGATGTTGATGGATTTATCGTAAGTAAAGCCAACACATTGACTTCATCCTCTTGCAGGTCATTTTGGTATGTTTTTGCACGTGGTTTGGGGAAGGACCAAAAATCTATTAAATTTTCTGCTAACCGGCTGCAGGTTCTTACGTGCGGTTGTCTTCTTTCCGGATACCTTGTGAAATATAATTCCGGATACCGCGGCTAACGTCGCATTCTTATCTGATAACATGTAACATTCCATCATGTTACATTTTTCATAATTTTCGAAATTCATTGTAAAGTTTTATTCAGTTTTGTTATACTTTTTTACTTAACATGCTGGTGCTTCGTACCAGCACATAATACCAGAGTTGTTATCGAATTTTTAAATACAAATTTAAGCAATTATTTGATACATTATGTGCCATCATAGTTAGGTTTACCATAATCATAAATCTGCAAACCGGGACAGGCGTGGAAACGAAAAAAAAAACCTTAGGCTATTATTAAAAAATATTTTATTAAAACCAAAATTATTTAAATTTTATCCTTATACCATTCATATTTTTCGCTAGAATGAACTTTTTTTAAGATTTTATTACTATTTTTAATTTTTTCATAAAAATCGCTACAAGTAATTGAAAAGTTAAATTTACAGTATACTAACGCTCGTACTGTAGCCTCTAACATACGGCCTCGATCATCCGACCAACAAATCTTCATTATCGAGAAAACACGTTCTACAGGTGCAGAGGTTCCTGGTAGACACAAAATGTATTGCAACATTTTGACTAAATTAGGTGCATCAACATGTTGCGCTTGAAAATGTTTGAATAATTGAACCCATTTGTCAACATACTCAATTTGGGCTGTTGTTGTACTCCACTCTTCGTTGTGTGACGCAAAAAATGCTTTACCAAGCAACACCTCGCCAAAGAGATCATCAGTATTAATTTTTTGATGATCATTTGCACCGTGTATTGCATTAATAGTTTCAGCAGATCGTTCAATTTCATCTCATTTCAATACGTGTTGCAATCCAACCCATGCAAAAATATCGGCACCACCAAAACTGTCTTCCCACAATTCAATGTATAAAAGACATCTTCTATAAAAAGCAGTTACTTCCGTCATAAATTTATTGACATCTTGGCTACCATCAAGTTTTCGCAGCAATAGTTTTGCTCCTAACGGGACAAACTAAAACTCTCATTATTGTTCGAGGTTTACATCATCGTTAATCGGGACAAATTACTCAACCGGCCGGGACGATTGTCCGAAACCGGGAGAATCCCGGTCAAACCGGGACGTATGGTAACCCTAATCATAGTATGTATGGTTATCGCCATAGCAACATTAACTTTTAAATACATAAATTAGTTTTAGATAGAACAAAATGAATTTTTGTTAATTATTCAATAACTATAAGAAATATACCCCACAAACTATATATATTTGTTATCAGAAGCAAATACCAAATTATTTTAGGTCATAGCCAACTATGGTTTCCATTTAAAAAAATAAAGTTACTTTTAAAATCTCGAAAATAAAAGATGGGAAAAAAATTCTACCTTAGCCACTGAATTCTTCGTAAAAAGTTGCCCATATAATGTTTTATTTATAATCTCCATCTTTGATAATAAGTGAGATATTCGCGAATGTCGTTTTCGCAAAATTTTCAGTTTTTGCCGATAGGGCGAAAACAAAAGACGATAGCTGTTCGGAGTTTTCATCATTGGCATTTTCTCGAAAAACGAGATCACGACATGTAAGCTACTTTTTTTCTATCTCTTTTAGTTTCGGAGATAGCCTATGCAGACATCGAAATTGGGACACCTGTACACGAAATCAACGCAAAAATCACTTTTAAGTGATCACAACTCGTAAATGATGTACATTATTTCGCATTTACTGTGGATAATACTTTCGATCGAGATGATGACTTAAATTGGTCCATTAATAAAGGATATAGTTATAGGTTTAATTAATTAGTTTTTTGTGTTGTCATCAAACGTGTTTCATATTTCGAACCCGGCATTTCGGCATCTGCATTCAGCAAGCCTCAAGCTTTCGATCGAGAGATAAAACATTCAAGTCCGTCAAACCGTTCTTGATTAAATTTAAATTATTTTTTTCTTGTATAAACAACGACCACTGTGTCATTCTAAGGACAGTACCTAGTACTGTACACTGTACTAACAAGGTTAACGGAAAAGGATTGAGACAGGGAATTTTGTGATTTCGATAGAAATTATAGCGAATCGGATGGCCTATAGATCTTAATAACCGAGTACATTGTTTATAAATTATTATGACTTAAAACGTAAATGTACCTTGTTTGGACATACCTGCCTTATTTGCAGCTAACTTTGCATAGGTAAGTGAATCTGTTTAATTCCCGAAATTAAAACGTTTTATATTGAAAATAGGTACTTTTCATGACACACTATTAAATCAGTAATACCTACCTGATTAATTTAACAATTTTTGATATGCGTTTGAAATCATGTTTGATTTACACGTTTTTTTCTTTTTCAATAGGATTCGCCGTTTTAAACAATATTGTCATTATTTAAGGTAACAATAAATATTAGTATAAAAATTTCTTTATATTTACAGCCTGTTATGTTGTCAATGGAATTTGAGTTGAAACAGTAATGCTTTTATTTTAAAATGGTAATTTTTTCTCACAATTATAGAATAAGGACTATGTTTGTTGACGCAATTAAAAAATTACCATTCCATTCCATTGAATTACCATTATACATTTCAAGTATACAGGAGATCTTTTATCGCCAGAAATATGAGATGACTCATCCTCAAGGACACATTAAGTACGTTAAACAATTGTTGTCTATTTCTTTTCATTTGCATCTTCATACCGAATTGTAATACAAAGAAACTTTTTTCATTAAGTGCATAATTATTTTTATTCTACTTGATAACATGGTGATATCAATATATTTGCCTCAACATGCCCAAAACCGTTCCTAGAATTGCTTGTAAACCATCTAAATTGTCACAATTTATAGTTATAGCAATTTGGTTTTAGATTTTTCACATTTTGTAACAAGCCATAATTGATTACCAGGGCACGGAACTTTTGTAACAAAACGATACGATTTCCCCCCTCCACTCGTTCTGATTAAAAGAACAGCATACTGTTCAGTGGGAAATTAAAATTTCAAGTTAGGAAAAAATTGTGTTAACAAAAATTGTTCCTGAAACAATTCTAAACAGACTTTGTCAACATCTTTTTTTGATTTAATCAATAATTAAAGAGATAACCTCAAAATAATAATTTTTAAATGTTTATACATAATTACACTTAGATGTTTAATTAATAGAGATGTAAACATTTTTTGATAAAAACAATAATTATTGAGATAATTAATTTTGATAGCATACTATTCAGAGGGAAATTAAAATTTCAAGTTAGGAAAAAATTGTGTTAACAAAAATTGTTCCTGAAACAATTCTAAACAGACTTTGTCAACATCTTTTTTTGATTTAATCAATAATTAAGGAGATAATCTCAAAATATTAATTTTTCCATTTTTATACATAATTACACTTAGACGCTTAATTAATAGAGATGTAAAATTTTGTTATTAACATAATTAATTCAAAATCGAAATTGAAACAAATTTTATTTAAAACATTTTTTGATAAAAACAATAATTGTTGAGATAATTCATTTTGATAGCATACTATTCAGCGGGAAATTAAAATTTCAAGTTAGCAAAAAATTGTATTAACAAACACTGTTCCTGAAGTAATTCTAAACAAATATTGTTAATAAAAATTTTTGATTTGATCAATAATTAAGAATATAAGCTCAAAAAATATTTTATATATATATTTTTATATATTTTTTATTGAGAAAATCGTTCTAGAATTTAATTTAGAACAACTTTTGTTGTTCTAAATTAAATGAAATTTTCTGCTGAGAACGAGTGGAGGGGGGAAATCGTATCATTTTGTTACAAAAGTTCCGTGCCCTATTAATTACAGTAATTAATATTAAATATATTTATACTTCTGTAGGACTTTGCCGAGGCGTTTTAGGTGTTTCACGCCCTTCTCCCCACTTTCTAGCCGTATATTGGACATATCCTGGATCTCCTGGAGTGCTTGGTGGTCTTTCAGGACTATTTTGGCCGTTTTTAGGATAAAAAAAGGTTGGCACAACATATTGACCTAAAACGAAAACAAATATAAATTAGTTTGTTACTAAAAGATGAAAAATCAAAATATTGAACCTCTGCGTATTTTACTCCAAACTGGTGAAGATTCTTCTAAAATTTCTTTTAAGTCTTCTTCACTTCCGCTTTCATAGTCCTTGCCATAAATATCAAATTTCTGCGGTGCTTTTGATGCTTTTTTGAAGCTAATCTGACCATTTTTGAAGCCGTTTGGACGTTTTTCTGAAGGAATAATAATTTTTTCTGCTTCCAGTTTGGGAATATGGCCGATTTTGGCAGTTTCAACCACGAAAATGTCGGGTTTTTGATCAGTGTTATGGGATTTGTGGTCTTTTAAAGATGCCTTTTTATTACCTTTAGGACCGGTTAAGTCCAAAAGAAATAAAAATGCCGTTGCTAAGGATAAACTACCTAAAACAGCTGCGTTGTCCACTAAGTCTTTCGGTAAGTTCTCCAAAGCTGCTAATTCCAACGCTCCTACAAAAATTTATTATTAAAGTAGTCATATTACATAAAATTTTAAGAAGAAATTTTGGTTAAAATAATGTCTGAACACTTTGAAGTGTGGTATATTGTTTGGGAAATACCTAAAACGATAAACAAAACAGTTCCAACCAACAATAGAATAATTTCGGTAATTCTGCGCCCATTTGGAAGTTCACCAACTAACTTTCCAATAAACAAAGCCGTAGTGACGATTGAAAATCCACCGTAAGTAGCGTCTGCAACTGATGAACCAATTTTATCCCAAGTTACACTTGTTAACAGACTCCATTCCCTCGATAATTTTTGTAAGTATAAAAACAACCTTGAGGTTTCATCGTCGGTCACTCTTTTGCAAATTAAACAAGAAACTACAAAAATCTGTAGACAAAATTAAAAATGGAGATTAATACAATTAATAATCAGTTATTATAGTGTAGATAATTAACAATTTTAAAGGATCAGAGCTTTTCTTTTTTAAACAATAAAAAGATCTCTACCAAGGAGTTCTATTGTTATGTAAATAGTAAATAGGCGTTGCGCAGTGATAATTAACAATAACAGAATTGCTTTAGTCATAGTAAATTGAGGACAAATGTAAACAGTTCGACCTTTCTTGTTAATTAGTATGTAGATATAATAGAGTCTATAAATCTACTTTAATTTTATGGACACGAATTTTCAAAAGGACTTATACATTTTTCTGACTTTATAAACAATAAAATATAAATTTCTTTCGTTTTATTTTATCTTTTACAATAATGGTTAAGTGGTATGTTAAAATTAAAAAATTAACATACGAACTACCAACTGTAATATCGAAGTTTTATAGATTTGGAAAATAGGGCGCTCAAACAAAATTATTGGGCTCTATCAATAATAGGTTGATGGTCTATGATATGACGATCAGCCAAATAATAGTTCGAAATATCTTTTGGGAGAGGATTTTATGTATGGTGGATAGACCAGAATAATGAAACATTCAATTCCAATTTGTTCCATCGTCTTTGTTAGACTTCACAATTCAAAACTGACTAAAACAAAACTAATATAAGATATCAGCATGAAAAAATTTACATACACTGCTGGATTATTTGCTATTTTGTTCTCGTTTTCTGAACGTTTTTGTACAATTTTAAAGCTTCGTAGATGACACAATTACGGTTTTGGTATATACAGGATGTCCCGTATCTTTCGCATCAGAGCATTATACGGTTGAAGGATGCATTATTCTGAAGCGATTTTTCTAATAAATTTTTTTCGAAATGTTTATAATAACCGCACGGGAGCTGTTTAAAGTTATCCGCTATTGTCCAATATCGGACGAGTTTGATTCACCGAAAAAGTTTATTTTTCTTTCCGTGTCGAACCTATTGGTGATTACACGTGGAAAACGAGTTATGAACGGCGCGGCGAACCGTGCGAATTCCCGTGCGGTTATTATAAACATTTCGAAAAAATTTTATTAGAAAAATCGCTTCAGAATAATTTATCCTTCAACCGTATAATGCTTTTATGCGGAAGATACGGAGCACCCTGTATAGTTTCCGCTGTAAATTACTACTTTACGCTTCTTCTTCGTTATAAAGAGCAACCACAAACTTGTGTGATATAGAAGAAATCTGGACATCAGCTTTCACCATTTTCAGAAAGTTATATCTTCTTAATGCTTAACAATCGCTATTCTCATAACAAATATACCATATTCAATAGTTTATGTAATCAGGTGTCTACATGAAGTTTCAGTAACGAAATCACTATTTTCAAAATTTATAGAGCATATCACTCTTGTCGGAAACAGAGACTGAAAAGAAAGAAGATGATTGATGGAAAAGAGAAGCTGAACAGAGACTGGGGAGAGACAAAGCAGACTGGAAAGAGTTTATAAATGGAAGAAAGCAACTAAACTTAGAAGAAATACAGTAGATAGAGATTAGTAACAAAAGAATGAGACTGCTAACAGAAGATATTGACCAAACAGAATCTGAAAAGAGAAAATCAGACTGACAGAGATGGAGACTGGCAAACTACTGCAAATGGAAAAAGAACTGGAAAGTCAAGATAGAGACTGAGCAAAGAAAATGAAATCTGCTAAGAAGCAGTAAATACAATAAAGACACTACTATCTTTAGAGATCATTATCTTCGTAACCGCTCGATATCGGTTTTTTCAACGCAGTTTTAACCAAAACATGACAAATAATTGCGTTTGTCAAATACCGTTATCAGTTTTTCAAAGTTATATTCTGTAATTTTATAAAGCAATTTAAGTCAATTAAAAAGAAACACAAATAAGTCATGCAGACACAGGAGGGTTCCACCTAATCGGAAAAGATGGTCTGGCATGGCGTGTGTTTCAGACACAGGAAGTCGGTATTATAAGATAAAGGCGCGACGTACTGTCTGGAACACACTATCTTTTCCGATTGGACGGAACCCCCCTCTCCCTGCATGGCTTATTCTGTTTCTTTTTAATTTATAATTTGTTTAAATCGGTCTAAAGCAATTTAGAGAGAGATAACTGTGAACAACTGATAACGGTATCCGATAAACGCAATTATTTGACATATTTTCGTCAAATCCGTGATGAAATCCACCCAGCCCTTTTCGACATAACGGCATCTTTCGACGTACGCAGAAATGTTCAATGAATACAACAAACATTATCCCAATTTTTTTCATCGAGCGATTGCGAAGATATAGATCTCTAAAGTGAGTCTTGATTTTTGGCACGCATAGTAGACAAAGAAGAAGAAGACTGGAGAGAGAGTACTAATAGAAAAAAGAGACTGACAGACTGGAATGACGAAAAGGATACTGGTAATAAAAAAATACAGAGTGAAAAGGAAAATATTGTGCTAGAAAAGAAAGAGACGGGAAAGAAATTCTAAATGCATAAAAGGACTAGGCAGACAATGCAGAAAGAGCCTATAATGCAGTACATACATTGAGGAGATACTAGAATAACATGAGGAAAATTGGGCTGAAAAAAGCCAGTAAACAGGACTAAACAGAACTGAGAAGAAGAAGGATGCTGGCAAGAAGATTGGAAGAGATATGCAAGAAAAGAACTAGACAGAGACTTGAAAGATAAGAAGCAAAAAACATGACAAGGGAGAGGCAATGAAATCTAGAAAGAAGCTGAATAGGACTGGATAAAGACAAGATGAAGAATGGGCAGACAGAAGAAAGCTTTCTAGCCTTTTTTAAAAGTGAGAATGAAACTAGACAGAGGCAGAGACCAAAACTGAAAGAGATTGGTAGTTGAAGATAGATGGAATAACATACTTAAGAGAAAGATGGAAGATCCAAAAGAGACAGAAAGGAGGGTGTGGGACAGATGATAGAATAAAGACTGAGACTGGAAGGATAAGGTGGTGACTGGCAACAAGAGATCGACACCGAAGAAATTGATAATAAAGAAAAAGTGGCAGAGATAGAGAGCGGAGACTCAAAAGAGACTGTAAATGTACGAAAAGGTATTATAGCCAGAATATAGGAAGACTGAAAGGGAATTGAAGAGACAATACGAAACTAATACGGGAAACTAATACGAAACTGTAAAAGATAGATATACCGTGTCCACCAAAAAGTCAGCAACACCGTTTCCGTTCCATTGTATCTACATTTCGGAAACTTAGTTTATGTGGGAGGTTCATACCGACCTTTCAATCTAAAGTATTTTGAAGATGGTGGCCACTTCTGGTCCCCCGGAAGTAGAGCACAACTTCCTTATTTTAAATGGAATGCTATAGTTTTTATCGCAGCTTTTAATTATATGCGAAAAAATAAGTTGACTTTGATAGAAGTTATTGGCACCTAGCCTTTTCGTTTTCGAGTTATTTTGATTTTAAATTTTTCTTGGCAATTTTCACCATGCTCTTTAAAACTCTATGTCTTGTAAACCACTATCAACGTTTGGAAGTGTAATATAGTGATAAATGTTTTGTAGTAAATATAAAGAGAATTAAAATTTAAACTGTATACTGTATACTAATATTAATATTAATTATTTACTAATACTGTATTGGTACACATTAGATATGTGTGTGTGTACACTGTTGTAATTTTGTTGGGTTGGGTCAATAATAAAAACATTGTTTTGCTGGAAAACAATCCCATTTTAGAATGTTAAAAAATAATGTACTAGTCTCGAAAGATATTGTTTTCAACGGTCTAAATACTATAAAATTTAAAAATAAACCAAAGAAACCTCATCGTCAATTCCTTGTCGTCTTTAAATGTTAAATTTGATATTGACACTAAAAACTGTCATTAAAAACAGTTGATCAATCAAATTTGATGATACATTCTAACATTCAAGATTCAAGGTGAATCATGTTAATTAGGTATCAAGATTTTGTGCAAAAATTTGATATGGTTTTTTGATGTTTAACCATAAAATTAGTATGAATTTATAACATTAATGTCATTTATGATGTTTAATTGTTAATCTTTATTACGAATGTAAATTTTAAAGTTTAAAATGTCCTTTTATCTTAAACTGTATTATTATCATCTGTAAATATAAATCAATAACATTGAAATTTATAATATTGTAGTATGAACATACATTTTTGATCTTTGTGATAATTTTAACTTTCTAAAATGCAACTTGTTCATTATAATCGCGATTTACCCTCTAGTATTCCAAATAGTTTAAACCCGAACTAAAAAGAGTGGAGCAAAACACGTTTTTTTTTCATAGAATGAACGAAATTACTCATCAATAAACTATTACACTGTAGTAATTTATTTTGACATTCAATATTTTCAGAATTGAGTTTCTTGAGAAAATGTTCATTTACCTAAACTAATTCATTTTTAATTATAATCACATTTCTATGTTAAATGATTTTGATAACTTGTACTTACTAATTCTAATAACTTTAAAAATGTCCATCTATCGAATTTAACTGCCATTTTAATACGATAATAGTTATCACGACTTCAATTATTTTCTAATCACTTAACACTTTAACTTCATTTTTATTTTGTATTATTTTTTCATAGCGTTACTAGTTTATAAATTGTTATTGTAAATCAAGTTTTTCCATAGGTTCCTGTGTGATGATTCACTTAAAAAAACTGGGCGTAAACTGAAGAAAAATGTTGCTTTCGTATATTTCTGTGCACCATTGTTACGATAAAATTACGACCTCGGAGTTTTCCCACCATTTTTCAACCTGTGTTTCATAACCTTTGTTTATGTCTTTAAACGCATTTAAAAAAGATTTGATATACCTATATTTTAATCGCACAACTTATGTAATGCGAAGTTATCTAACAAAGTGCAATGATCGCTTAGAGTTACTAATTGAGGTCAAAAAATATCTTTCCAACAGTAGGCACAAAGTAAAAGACCGGCGTTAGTAACGCTTTGTTATACTCCATATTAAAAATATGTATCAACATTCTCTTCGTTTATTTCACATAGGGTCGCAGCTCTTTTGTTTTCAAGCTATGAGCGATCAAAGTTAAGCCAAAAATTTACATTTCATTTTTTATTTCGGCTATAAGTAAACCTTATTTTCAAGCATGCGTTAAGCTTCCCTGCCGCTCTCTAAGAGGATGAAATTCACAACCCCTTTGAATTTTTTATAAGAACTTTTTAACACCATGGAATATTAACACAAAAAATATGAGTTATATATCTCATTCTTTAATGATACTTTTTGTCTCTTTAGTTTTTTCATTAAAGATAATAAGAAAGATATGTTTTCGTGCAAAAATGCATACAGTGCTAGCGTAAAGTAACCCCCCCTGTTTAACTTATGAACAGATTGAGATATCAATATGAGCAAAAAAACGTCAGTTTCTATATTTTATCAGCACAAATATTGTCTTATGGAAAATTTTGCTATCACTTTTAGTTTTTCCGGAAAATGGATCAACTTTGTTTTTTTAAATGGAACACCCAGTATATTATGGTATCTTCCGAAAGAATAAAACAATACGAATCCAACGATACCTCACAATCAAATATCGGTTTATTAGTTTTTTACATAAATATTAAACAAAATGCGAAATTTCGCCGGAAAAACCAACGCATCTTCGTTGACTACCTGTCGAGATACAATGGGCCAGATAAATGGTGGACGGTCAGTTAAAGGTCGGTCTACGCTCGGGTTAAGCAGGGTTAAAATCGGCAATTCTTTTAGAATGTTTTTATGAAACAATCAATGCAAGAAAAGGATAAAAAGAAAGTTCTTCTTAAAACTTCTAAGAAAAAATTGTCATAACAACAATTTTAAAGTTTGTAGGTACCTTGAAATTTTCTATTTAAGGCAGCATGCAAATATTGTCCTTCATTTCTATCTTGGAATTCTACCCGACCAAGTATAACCAAAGAAAAGCGAGATCAAAATGGCTAGAAGGAGTTTAGAGCACAAAATCGGAGGAATTTTAATATTCCCTCGTGCTGACAGAAATGTACATGAAACAGAGCGACAATTTAATGAACGATTTCCTGAACATCCAATTAGTCGAAAATATTTAAGAGAACTTGTAAATAAGTTTTTGGAAACTGGAAGCGTCGAGGACCGCAAAAGAACTGGTCGTCGTTCGATTTCTGAAGACACACAAGTGCAGATGTTAACAGAAGTAGTTAATGCGTGCATGATGTCGTCTGCTGCTATCGCATCAACGTGTGATGTGGGTCCAACAACGGCGGGGAAATATTTTTAGATTTGTTTCAGTGATGAATGTACTTTCTTTTTGGATGGAAAATTGCATCGGCAAAATGTACGTTACTAGAGTGATTTTAGTCCACATGAATATCGTGAAGTTAACACTCAATTTCCCAAGAAAATAAATGTTTGGACAGGCATATTGGGAAATCACATCGTGAGACCAATATTCCTAACCGAAAATTAGACCGGAATTGTATTTAAGATTATTAGAAGAAGATATTAATCCAAGTCTTTTGCAAATTGTACACCAGAATCCTGACGATTTTGAAATGGCTCCTCCACATTATGTGGCAATGGTACGAAATTATCTTGATACAAATTTTAATGGACGGTGGATCGGTCGACGTGGGCCGATTGAATGGCCAACAAGATCACCAGATCTGACACCTTTAGATTTCTTTTTATGGTGTTATTGACGAAATTATTGACGTCTGCCAAAATATTGATCATCACATGTTAAGCCGTGTGAGAGGAAACACTACAAAAATGTTTGTTCCTAATAAATAAAAAATTCTTTTATTATTCAATAACAACACTAAGCCAATTTTTCAACCAATACGGCAAAATCTTTAATAAAAAAAATTTCATTTCTTATATTGACTTTGATTTTTTTCTTTATAAATATTTTTTGATAAAATATGATTAATTCATAAATTTAATATACTTCAAAAATAAGTAAGGGAACTATCAATTTTAAATCCGTCTTAGCTCGAGCGTATACCTACCGTTAACCTACCGACCACCATTTAACTGGCCGATTGCATTTCGACAGGTAGTCGACGAAGATACGTTGGTTTTTCCGGCGAAATTCCGCATTTTGTTTAATTTTTATGCGAAAAACTAATAAACCGATATTTGATTGTGAGGTACCGTTGGATTCGTATTGGTTTCATCTTTCGGAAAATACCATAAGAGACAGAAAGGAGGGTGTGGGACAGATGATAGAATAAAGACTGAGACTGGAAGGATAAGGTGGTGACTGGCAACAAGAGATTGAAACCGAAGAAATTGATAATAAAGAAAAAGTGGCAGAGAGAGAGAGCGGAGACTCAAAAGAGACTGTAAATGTACGAAAAGGTATTATAGCCAGAATATAGGAAGACTGAAAGGGAATTGAAGAGACAATACGAAACTAATACGGGAAACTAATACGAAACTGTAAAAGATAGATATGCCGTGTCCACCAAAAAGTCAGCAACACCGTTTCCGTTCCATTGTATCTACATTTCGGAAACTTAGTTTATGTGGGAGGTTCATACCGACCTTTCAATCTAAAGTATTTTCAAGATGGTGGCCATTTCTGGTCCCCCGGAAGTAGAGCACAACTTCCTTATTTTAAATGGAATGCTATAGTTTTTATCGCAGCTTTTAATTATATGCGAAAAAATAAGTTGACTTTGATAGAAGTTATTGGCACCTAGCCTTTTCGTTTCCGAGTTATTTTGATTTTAAATTTTTCTTGGCAATGTTCACCATGCTCTTTAAAACTCTATGTCTTGTAAACCACTATCAACGTTTGGAAGTGTAATATAGTGATAAATGTTTTGTAGTAAATATAAAGAGAATTAAAATTTAAACTGTATACTGTATACTAATATTAATATTAATTATTTACTAATACTGTATTGGTACACATTAGATATGTGTGTGTGTACACTGTTGTAATTTTGTTGGGTTGGGTCAATAATAAAAACATTGTTTTGCTGGAAAACAATCCCATTTTAGAATGTTAAAAAATAATGTACTAGTCTCGAAAGATATTGTTTTCAACGGTCTAAATACTATAAAATTTAAAAATAAACCAAAGAAACCTCATCGTCAATTCCTTGTCGTCTTTAAATGTTAAATTTGATATTGACACTAAAAACTGTCATTAAAAACAGTTGATCAATCAAATTTGATGATACATTCTAACATTCAAGATTCAAGGTGAATCATGTTAATTAGGTATCAAGATTTTGTGCAAAAATTTGATATGGTTTTTTGATGTTTAACCATAAAATTAGTATGAATTTATAACATTAATGTCATTTATGATGTTTAATTGATCTCGAGCGTATACCTACCGTTAACCTACCGACCACCATTTAACTGGCCGATTGCATTTCGACAGGTAGTCGACGAAGATACATTGTTTTTTCCGGCGAAATTCCGCATTTTGTTTAATTTTTATGCGAAAAACTAATAAACCGATATTTGATTGTGAGGTACCGTTGGATTCGTATTGGTTTCATCTTTCGGAAAATACCATAATATACTAGGTGTTCCATTTAAAAAAACAAAGTGGATCCATTTTCCGGAAAAACTAAAAGTGATAGCAATATTTGTGCTGATAAAATATAGAACCTGACGTTTTTTTGCTCATATTGTATCTCAATCTGTTCGGAAGTTAAAAAGGGGGGGGGTTACTTTACGCTAGCACTGTATATAGCATATATAGCATGTTTAGCTATAATTATTCTAAAAGTTGGCTAGGAATTGCATTTACGTTGGATCCTCATAATTGTTGATGATTGTTAATAATTTTTGACTGTTATTAAGCAAGAATATCAATTTTTTAATATTGTTTAAAACAACGTAATTTGTTCAGGCAGACATTCATTTTATTTATGGTTTTTGTTACGAAAATCACAACTAACTTGTGTTATTTTATCAGTACTAGATCCTGGTAAGTAGACAACTTCCATAGCCAAATATAATTTTTTTTATAGCTACGCTTTGTCGCACACTATAGCATATTTTATTTTTTACGCGAAAACTATTATCTTTATAGAAAAAAACGAATAAGTACCATTCAAGAATAAAGCTCAATCTTTAATTTTTGGTCCAACTTTAATCGCTCATAACTCGAAAACAAAAGAGCTGCGAAGTTTATATAACAAACATGTGTTATTTTGGCAAGTATTACGTCATAGTAAAGTTTCCCGATTAAACTCTGAACCACTTTGTACACGGAATGGAATAAAAGTATAGAATATAGAAGTCCCTAGATTTACAAAGTACCGCGGTTCATGACACCTGTTTTCGAGCCAAAATGGCGGCTTGACAACATGTCACTGCATCTCACCACGTATTTACCTTTGGAGTGTTAAGATGCCTTTGGAGTTGCAAAAATAGCAGTAAGAAGGGCTTTCGACTCTTAACAGTACCACGAGAAAAAAGAAAGGAGTTTTGGCGTAATGTTATCAATAGAACGACGTTGTTTTAAATTTCCCGCTTGACTTTCGAGCCAAAATGGCGGCAAGAGATGTAGTGACAAGCTGTCAAACAAATTATCGAAGTTTTTTTAAATGGAACACCCCATTTCTTATATCGAAATTTGAAAGAGGATTTTTTTCTGAATTATGTACAATATTAATATTGGTTACATAAGAAAATTTTCGAGATAAATTAATTTAAAGTTTCTTTATTTCCCATTCATTTGATATAAAAAATAGTAGTAGCCATGCGTAATCATGGCAACCAATTGTTTTGATTTAAAATTTCCAAGTGTCAAAATTCGATTTGAAATAGTTTATTGTGCGTTAATGAGATTATTTTGAGTAGTATTGTGGAGTTTCTTGTGTGAATTGTTGTTATTCATTGTGATTCGTTGTTATTTGTTGCTATTCATCGCTATTCGTTTTTATTTTTTTGTTGTTATTTGATCTTATAGTATATCTATTATTGGTTATTTTTTAATTATTAACTGTTCGATAAGTAAGAAAGTAATAATGACGTTTACTGAAACTGAAAGAATCGAGATTCTCATGATGATTGGTTTCGGAAATAGAGTCCGACCGTCGCTAGTTAAATGAAAAAAGTACCCGATTTTTTAAGGTATCGGCAACTTTGCGATTTTTTTTCTCGAAAACTATCTTACGAAAAAATTGGAATTTGGAACAGGTGGTAGCCTGATGCGTTCTTAATGTGTGGCATATTTTATATTTTCGATATTCCATTCAGTTTCGCGGAAAATTGTTGTTTAGTAAGACGCCGTTATGTCGAAAACGGCTGGGTGGATTTCCTCGCGAATTTGACCAAAATATGTCAAATAATGTTGATTGTCGGATTCCGATATCAGTTTTTCAAAATTAGAGCTCCCTAATTTTTAAAGAGCGATTTAATGGAATTACAAATTAAAGAGAAACAGAAATAAGCTCTGCGGGGTAACGAGGGTTTCGTCCAATCGGAACAGATGGTGCGTCCCAAACAGGACGTCGCGCCCTATTTCTTTATATAGGTAAGATAAAGACGCGACGTACTGTCTAATTCGTAATAGTTTTGAAGAAAAAAAATCGCAAAGTAGACAAAGTTGCTGGCACTCTCAAAAATCGAGTACGTTTTTCACTTAACTCGCGATAAAAGAAAAGCCGCGGACCCAAAAATTTCCAAATTAATATGTTATACGCAGAAATGTTCACTGATTACAATAAACTTTACTGCAATATGTTCCATCCAGCGGTTACGAAGATATCGGTCTCTAAAGTGAGGGGCCTTGACTTTTTGCACGGATAGTAGATGTACGAGAATACCACAACCAAAAATTTCCCAATCGGTGGATTGGCAGCCGCGAACATATTGAATGGCCGGCAAGATCGCCTGACTTAACCCCTTTAGATTATTTTCTTTGGGGTTATTTAAAATCTAAAGTTTATTTTAATAACCCTGATAACCTAGAAGATTTGAAGCAAAAAATTAGAGAAGAAATTCAATTAATAAGCAGATTCAAATCTGAATGATATTTTCTGTTTGCGTTTTTTTTTTGATTCGTTTGATGCAACAAGCTATTGCTACTTTTGTATCTCAAGTACAATAGTAATAAGTAATAATAATTAATTTAAATAAATAATTCAATTCAAATTCAATTTTGACACTTGGAATTGTCAAATCAAAACATTTGGTTGCCATGGTTACGCACTGCTACTGCTATTTTCTATATCAAATGAATGGGAAGTAATAAAACTTTAAATTAATTTTTCTCAAAAATTTCGTTATGTAACCGATATTAACATTGTACATAATTCAGAAAAAAATCCTCTTTCAAATTCCGATATAAAAAATGGGGTGTTCCATTTAAAAAAACTTTGATGACGTCATAACTCGTTTAAAAATGGCGAGAAAGAAATAGAGAAAAGTATAGCATGGTAATTGGATCAGTTAGTTTAGGCCCACTTTTACCACCTCTAATTAAAGTGGTTGATATCTTCCGCTAACGAATAGCGCAAAAATCGTGTTTTACCATCATATTTATCTCGTTGGTTTACCGCTATGAGGTTCGGTATAAAAATGTATCTGTCCGAATAGGGTCGACTCGTTTTTTACTAGATGGCGTATCATTTATATCTAACCTTTGTTTTGACATAAACTAAAGTGCGCGGCGTATCTCGCATATGCCACGTAGCACAGCCGCGCATACGTTTTTTGATACGTCCAAACTGGCGCGTGGTAGAATTGTGTCCAACAAACGCTGTGCGTTGCCGCCGCGCAATGTCTGGGCACACCTTTAGAAAGGTTTTCAGTATCGTTCGAAATTATTTAAAATAATTCTTAACATTTTAAACCTGATTCGACAATCAAATTATAGACCATACTTCTTAAAATTATATACTTGTTCCCATATTGTCATAGTTCTCACAACATCCTGAACACTTTTTTAGAAGATGGAACTTTTACAATAAATCAAAACAATTGAATATCTGTACCATAATGTACTACTCTGGGCCTACATTGTTTCAGATCTTCTTCCTGCATGATATACCTGAAACCAATTCGAAGCTAGAAACATATGTAAATGACAACTTGCTAACTGAAAGAAATGAAAGCTGATTGAAGAAATGCTAAATGAAAGTAGCATTTCTCGAAGTATTATACCCTACGTTCAGCCTGATTAAACTAATTTAATGGATAGCATCCGCATTTCTTGGATGTCTAACCCTTTCTGCTGTCTAGCCAATCATCTTGATCTCTAGGTAGAGTTTAGTTTTCATATAAGCGCTAAGCTATCTATATAACATCATAAATTAATTAAGTTGCTCAACTCATCAATAACAAAACTGTTACAAAAACAAATTTTTTTTTATTGGCTTATTCGAAAGTTTTTTAAAATTGATTGACCCTATATATTTTAAATTTTTGATTCTGAGGCTTACTTTTTCCAAAAAAAAATAATAAAGTTTGAAACTACAGGGCGCGAACTCCAAAGTACGTCACTCAGATTTGAGCGTACGATTGGAGCGTATAAAAATCAATAAAATTCCTGGAGAGAGACAATGCTACGAATCTTATGCACTAGAAGAAAACAGGAGCGAACGTAACGTCTTCTTACTTAACCGTCATCTGGAGTCGGGGCTGGGAAATTTTAAACTTTTACATTAATTATTGCAAAAATTAAACAATTTTCGAACGTGAAAACGTTACTAATCCGTCTAATTTAATTTAGATTATCGATTTTTTGAAAGACGGTCTTTCTGACCGATTGACCTTAACGACCTTATTATAATGTATGATGTTCCTCCCGATATGACCTTACTGAACTTATTTACTTTTTCGCGTATTTTCTTTGTTTTCGTGTCACTTCTTATTTTATTAATTTTTGCATTCTCTAGATGAAGCAGTTGTTCGAATCAATAGTAGCAATAATATTAATGAGCCCAAATGGTCTGACAATGAGATGGCGTCGATCCAAATTCTTTTCGTTTTTGATGAAGATTATGAAATACTATCGGAACATCGGCGCAGTGGTATTGCAGATATCTGTATACATCTGTGTATACTGATGAGTTTCTGAACTTAATTTTGTAGAAGACAAACAAATATGGTGTGTGTAAATACTCGCCATTGTCTGAACTTGAGAAAATTGAACTTCTGCAGTTTTTTGCATTCTGTTTTCATATGAGTATTGAGATAGATGCCTCATATTAAAGGCTACATTTGCTGCGAATTATATGTGTAGAAACAGATTTCTTCAAAACTGCTTACATATTGCCAACAATAAAACAGCAGATCGCTCAAGTAAACTACATAAAATCACTCAATAACGTCTGCGTAATTGAAAGTGTGGTGCCTTTCCGAGGCTGACTTATACAATTTGTATACAACTTGTACTTATACAACTAGTATATCGACAATACATCAAAGGAAAGGGACACAAATATCGAATTAAATTCTATAAATTGTGCTGTCAATGAGGATATACAAGAAAAATTGGAATGTGATCCTTTCTTTATGATTACACGTAGAAGACAAATATAAATTATATAAACAATCAAACTAAAAACAAATAAAAATTGTTTTAATAGTATTAAATTAAATAGTAGAACTTAAACATGAATATAAAGATAAGTACAATTTTAACATTATTTACATATGTATATGCGATGAAGGGAAAAACGATATCTCCCGAACATGCTTTACCATGAATAATTTAAAAAGCTGCTAATTTTTGAACTTCAAAATTGTTTAAAACGGTGATTATCGGCCTTTTAATATTTGATTCTCCATCTTGATTCCATTCGAAAATTAAAACCGGCTAAAAAATAATTTGAGTTATAATACTACTAAATACAGTAATCATTTTCTTGTTTCTTACCGACTTTAGGAAAGCAGAGTTTGTTTCGGTGTTTAACATCACTTCAGGTTGGTTTTTAAATAACCTTTTATCAGTTGTCAAAAGTTCTAAAGCTAAATCGGTATAGAAATGCTCAAAAACTTCTAATTTGATCGCAAATCTACCGAATTTATCAATTGGATAGAAATGAATGCGTCTCAGACCAATTAAAATATTGAGAATCGATGACTGTAACTTGAAAAAGCTGGACTTTTTAATTTTCATGTTCGAAATATAAACGGTTTTCTTTTGTTGTAAACATTTACGAGCCATTAAACCATTCAACGCGCCAGACACTTGTTCGTGATTATTTAAAAGTTCAATAAAATCATTTAATTTTATTAAATTTTCATCAAATTTTATGAACCCAAAAACTTTATGGTTAACTTGAATTAATTTAAGATCTTTTAAAGCTTTCGATTTTAATAATATCAATAAAAGTTCTTCTTGAGAAATTTTTTTTGGTAAATTATCTGAAATAAACAGTTTTATTTAAAACATTAAGAATTCATTTTCATCTTACAAATAAAAATTTGATAATTTAAAGTTATATTTGTCCACCCTTTTGTGAGTTGCAAATTTTTCGATGTAAAGTGTTCAGAATTTTGCGTTTTGATGTGATCAAGACCGTAAAATTCTGCCAAACGAGACGAGTTTTCATCAACTTCCATTTCATCACCAAATTTTCTCTTCATTTTTTGTGAACTACATCGAGTTTATTGCAATTTTTAACAGTAATAAGTTTTGTTAATAGTACCTAAAAATGAACTAAGTGCTTCAATAAATACTTTCCCATTATGGCAAAATATAATATTCAAATTAAAATACATACGTTTAAGGTTCCTAAATAAAATAAAAGTTCACGTATACCAAGATTTAATTCACAAATCCGATTTCAACATTACACCTCGAAACCAACTTCCAGTAAATTTAACTATGCACATAATTCTTTTTGTAAATGAATAAAATTTACGAAAATCACGTGTGAACTATTCTAAGCCACGATTAGATACATTCTAAGTAATAGTAGGAGAATAAGAAGTAAGCAAAACATAAATAACGTTTTCTAACTGTTTTCTGCATGTGCATAACCTTCTAAAATGTCCTTTATAATCATTTCTAACGGTTACCGTTTGTAACTGTTACTATTAACGGTGCAAGGATTGTTTATAAAAATTTAATAATTTATTCATCTACCTTTTCTAATGGTATTTCTAGTTTCTTATGAAAACAATTGTGAATATACGGTTCTTATTAAAATATTTCTATAGTGTATGTAACATTTTAGCGTATTATGGAAAAAAATTAGAAACAATAATTATACAAACTAGTGTAGCAAAGAAAGTTTAGTAACTTTCTCTCATTTGTTTGCGTTTGCGTCTCTTTGCATTGCGAAATTATCAACGCTAGCAAAAACATCTACCTACTAAATTTAATTTAAACAGCACGGAAAAATTAACGGTTAAAAATTAAAACTTAATTGCTGATAGGTTTTAAATAAAAAGCAGATGAAAAGCTATGAAAGGAATTCAATTCTATAATAGAAAGATTTGAACAGCTGATGATTAACGTGGTGTATTCATTCTGTCATCAATTTTGAGGTCTGGAATATTTCAATCACAAATATGAGTTAAGACGGATAAATAACGTCCCATAAAATGGTAATTGTTTGATTTATGTTAAAAGATTTCTCATATGACATTAAATCTTGTGAATACGAGTTCCTTTTGCCGTTTTAGAGACTTTGGACGTATGTATAATCTTCTACATTTAATGAAAAATATCGGCTAAAATTAAATAAATGAAGTATTTAACACATTTGAAGAAAATATAATATACTTGGTTAAGACTATAAGCTATTTTTTGTAACCCGTATGTTATCGACTACTCGCCATAGAACTTACAGCTCTTACTTTATATAAAAATATAATATTAATTTAACAGTAACCTCTATATCGAATCGAAATAAAAAATGATCATGTTGAAGAGGGAAGAAGCACCGGATGGAACCAGCTGCAAGACGCAAAGAACAACACAGAATAAATCATACTGTGTGAAAAAATACACAAGACCTTTATGAATCTGAAACTGCTAAATGAAAAACTATTTCAACTACACCTCAAAATTTCGAGTACCATCATATCCTGGCAAAATGAGAAAAAGATTAAATTTCGGGGTCACTCTAAGCAAGCTATTTTAACTGAGGACTGAAGACATCCGTCAAGACAATGCAAGAGTGCTAAAAACAGCTAAACCACCAAAGTCCAACTTGACAAATGGTGAAATAGAAGCTTTATATACTAGTACAAGATAGGGAACTGACATAGTGTGATGCCTGCAAACAAAAATAATGTCACCATGGTGATTGGCAGAAAGGAATATGACAACACGATAAACACTCTATTGGATCTAGACACTTACAGAAAAATTAAACTTAATTAAGTCGACGAATATTCCACCACAGGAATAGAAAAACCTGTTAGTACAAGCACCAGTAGCACAAAGGATCTAAAATTTTTCAAGTCCATAAGCCTTTCCAGATAGTCCCATAGACGTCCCACTGTAACTTATCATAAGCGCATTTAACTCACCAGCTTGCGAAACACCTCGCCAAAATATTGACGCCTTTTACAGAACCTACAGCCTCACAAGCTAAAGATTCAACACGATCCTTTCGACATATTAATCAGCTTCGACCTGCAATCACTTTTTATCAAAGGAAAAAGATATCGTCTAGGACAAAATCTCATACCTGAGGTGTCATCGAAGTACGTCCAAGAACTGCTGAAAATGACAGTTTTATGAACAATATGAGGAAGCAGTCATGAGATTATTGTTGTTACCAATCATCGCCAACTTCTATATAATTCTTTTATTGGCTTATTCGATAGTTTTTCAAAATTAAAGGCTTCTATAATTTTTTATTTTTCAAACTGGGCTTTAGTTTAAAAAAAAAAATAATGAAAATTTAAAAAAAACTTTGGAGACGTCACCGTCGTTTCGCACGCGGTTGGTTGAAATAAAAATCGATAAAAGTTGTATGAGCGAGATATAACGTGAATTTTATGCGCTAGAAGAAGAGATCCGAATAATGCACGTTTGTTTCTTCTTGATCTTACGCGAAAAGTTCGTAATCGTCACCAAAGCTATTATAAAGGGGATTTTGAATTTTAATATTAATTATTGCAAAAATTAAACAATTTTAGAATCTGAAAATGTTACCAATCCTATTTTTATACAGTTTATCGATTTTTTGAAAGATGGTCTTTCTATTCGATTGAGAGTAACGGCCCCATTTCCTAGAAGGCTCGAGTACTTCTTAAGCCATTTAAACAGTCAGCAATCTAATGATAAAGTTCAATATGAAGGAAGAAAAGGGCAACCAGCTACCATTCCTCGATGTATCAGTAACTAAGACCAAACAGCCACAACTCAAACACGGAGTTTATAAGAAGAAACTGCACAAGAAAAGGTACCTACAAGTCTTATAGCTCGTAATTCGCATCCCAAAATTTGAATGACGAAGAACGACTTCTAAAGAACCAATGGGACAACAAGGAGAATAAGCTACGGAAAACAAATACGGTAAGTAGTCAACCTGTAGGTTTCATCTGTCTTCTATATACAGTGTGTTAATTAATTATCGTAGCCGACGTCATTATTGCAAGTATGCAACCAATATCACAGTATTGGTATTGCAATACGCAAATCGCGTGTTACCAACGACATAGTCAAGCGACTAATAAAGGACGACATCGTAATGAAACATGAAACAGTCAGCAAACTACGGAACGCATTGCCGATAGTAAAGGACAAACTTCCTTCGTTGTAGAGATTACATAAGGCGGCCTTACACCAGAGCAATAACTGGCAACAGGTAGCATAGGTACTACAGTTTTTTGGAATGTTGCCAGTTGCTCAAAAACCAGTTTGTGCGTTTTGTAGCATGCGATAGACTATTGATACCAAGGCGACGCAACTGTTTCCTCCACAGTTGAGAACAACATCATTTATTTTAACATGTATTATTGAAGTTGTCTATTTTTCCGTTTGCTATGGATTGACGTGCTACAAGTCGCAACAGGCAATCTTGTAGCACGGAGTGACAACATGTAGCATGCGATTACGTCGCATGCCACATGTTGCCAGTTGTTGCTCTGGTGTAAGGCCGCCTTTTTTAGTTTAGATTGAACTGTCGCAGAACATTGCTACACAAAGATCAAATACATGCTGGGAGCAGCCACTACTACCACGGTATGACCAGAAATGTCAGAGGAATTTATCATCATAAGAACAACATTAATAGATACTATAATAGTTCCTATACATATGAAAGGAGGTAAAAAAGATTGCAATAATTACTCAGTAATTACACTTATAAGTATACACATTAAAACACTGAACAAATCATTGATAAAAAGTCAAATTAACAACAGAAATAGTAGAAATGTACACTGGACCACATACATATACAGGGCTTCAAGAAGGTCGACAATTTAAATATTTGTTATAATAATCGTAATAAACGTGCAAACAAACATGAAAATATTTTATTTTGCCATTTGGTAGTCAACCGCACATAATTCTTGAAAGAATTAAGATATCGGGTTTTGGTTTATGGGGTTGTGTTTCTTTTTTCATTACCTTTAAAATAAGGTAAAACTCGACAAGGGTTGCTATTTAAAAATGTAGGGGTGGTCATCCCCTAAAAAAACTTCACATTGCATGGAAGTTCTAAACTATCTAAGAATGTAGTTTTGATGACTCTTTAGTGATCCCTAAAATTTTCTAATTTTTTTCTTCACTCATTCAAAACTTATAGCTCCGTTCCGGGAGTTTTGAAAAACCCTGTATACAATACTAGACAATAATACAATACGTAGTAAAATTAAAAAGTTTATTCAGGGTTCATTTATGTTTCGTCGGAGTACCGTCTCTAAGGACTGATTTTTAATTCTATTTAAACTAGTTTTTTATGAATAGTTTATGGTTCTCGACAGATGTCAGAATTATTGCTTTTTTTTATTTATAAAAACAAAATATCAAAAATGGAATAAATATATTATTTTTCTACTTTATTTTGGCAGTCCTCAACAATTTACATGGACAAATTTTCAATAATAATGAAGAAGTCCAATTAAAAATCGTTCAGGCGATTTATGGAAAAATATCAATGTATAAACGACAAAGAAAAGATATTTTTAAGGATGATATGATAACGAACGATGTGAAATATTTAACACAATGTTGAGGTTCTGTGTTATCGAAAAACAAATCACAGATGATAAGAATATAGCAGACGATGAGACTGTATTAGAGATGAGCAATCTATTTATTAATAAGAATGAAAATGAACACGTACAAAGCAATATACAGGTCAATGTCAACGTTTGGATGTAAAATCTGTCTTCAATCGATGTATAAAAACTTAGTGCCGTGTGATGAATTATATTCTTTTATTTGTATATTCATATTTTATTCTATTTTAAATTATACTCTTGTGATTTTTTAAAGACCACACCTTAAAACCAACAGTGTTTCCCTCACATAAAACGGTAACAATACTTCTCTATTGTAACAATTCTCATGATCAAGTTACATACGAACTCTTATTGTCAGTAAAGATCCTGTAATTACGTTACCTTGACTCGTGCAGAATAGCACAAGGCTAAAATGTTGACCAGTTCTTCTCTTACGATTATTAATTGCCTTCTTAATATATGACTCATAAATTAATTAGTATTAATACTGCCTTGTATTAATACATAGTTGTGAATGTATCTAACAGATAGATGCGTATCATAAAGTACCGAAAATGCATTCCGTGTTCTATATTTTACAAAATTAATAATTATTCATTTTATCCAGTGAATTGAATATTATTTATTCTCAACCATATCAGTTATTATTATACAGCGTGAGTTATTAGTATCCCAGGGGTTGAACCGGTTTAGTACCTAAACCGTTTGAAAAAGAAAGAAATGTTTTATAAAAAAGTTCTTTGACTCTCCACTTTCTATTACGTAAAATTATTTCACTTATACAGGGTGTGTAAGCGTAACGGAGAGTACGTAATTTTTTTTAAATGAAACTTCTGTATATTTATCATGTTATAAATACAACTAATAGTTATTTATATTACAAGTGGTCTAGAAACATAATTACTGTACGAGTGTGGAGAATTGTACGACGAGATCGTAGACCGAGTCGTGTAATCACACGAGTACTCTAATTATGCTCTAGCCCACGTGTGATATACAACATTTTATCTACGACTGCTAAAAGCTACTTCAAATTTCTTTAAAAAGGTATATTTTAATATTTATAAAAATTGTATTGACAATTTTGAATTAATGTCAGTTTCAATAACATGTTTACTCATCTAGAATAAGTGTTTCGAAATGTAAAAACATAACAATTAATGTTTATAATAAATAGTATTGTTTCTCTTTAAATAGGTAGTACTTTTTCTTTTGTATTGTTGCTCGTTTCAATAAATTAAGTCTGTTCTGATTGAGCTAAAAATGCGTTACGTAATGGAACCAGTGCGGTAATGAACTTCATTACGTAACTCAAATCACCTCAAATGAGTGTGGTAATGATGACTTATCCAAGCAGTCGTAGATAAATTTGTTAATACAACCGTATATGTTCCTATTTCACAGCGTTCATAGTCCCTGAGATATTCAGTTGTTCTTCCAAAATGTGCCCATTGAAGGATCTTTCTAAAAACGATGTAAAAACGACATTTTTTCCGATTTTCCCTTGAAACTATGTCACATAATAGTCAATGCCCGTAGGAAGATGATAGTATCCAAAGATATTACTTGATATCACTTGGATTTATCTGTCTTCCCTATGTTTCAGGTGTAACGGAACGAATTGCTAGGCATCTCAAGAAGAACGACATCGTAGTGCGGTACGGCACGGTCAGCAAAATTCGCAACACACTCCCGATAGCCAAGGACAAACTAACTCCATTAAAAGGAGCGGGAGTCTATCGACTATCGTGTAGTTGTGGGAAGGTTTATGTTGGCCAAACTGGACGCAACGTCGAGTGCCGCATCAAGGAGCATGAGAGAGATGTAAGGCTGAAGAAGATCCAGCAGTCGGCGGTTGCGGAACATTGCCATGCAGAGGGGCACCGAATAGACTTCGAACAAACAAAGGTGCTGGCTAGGGACAACAGATACTACCAAAGACTGAAAGACTGAGAGAAGCCATAGAGATCCACCGACATAAAAATAACGTCAACAGAGAGGATGGCTGGGAGCTTAGCAGAACATGGAAGATGGTGGTGAACACGAAGACCTCTTCCCGCCTCACACCGGACGCGACGCAATTAGTTATTAATTAGCTTGTAATTAGCGTTAACTGATTATTAATTAGTTTTTCCCGACTTATATATAGTTACCGATTTTTGATCTCGTCACTTCGAACCAGTTTCTGAAGAAGGTTGCAACATGGCATCCGAAACGTCAAACCTTTTATTAAAAGACGCACGGCAAAACCGGAAAGTTTCTAGTGTTAGTTCTAATTTTAGTTTAATCCACTTTTTATTATTCAATATAGACAATTTTTTTTAGAGGATTGTTAGAGATAGGTATAATAGATAGGTTTCTTCAGAAACTGGTTCGAAGTCCACTTGAAGAAGGTTGCAACATGGCATCCGAAACGTCAAACCTTTTATTAAAAGACGCACGGCCAAACCCGAAAGTTTCTAGTGTGAGTTCTAGTTTTAGTTCTAATTTTAGTTTGGACTCCATAATCGTTTTTCTCATGCCAAGAAACCTCGGTATACCAAATTTGAAAAGAATCGGTTGAAATACACGTGTAATACATATCAAATAAAAATCAATTTAAAAATTTAATTTGAGCAATCTGTATCTCCAAAACAAAGCGTTTGTCGACCTATGATTAAATGAAGTTTTTGTATTAATTTTAAAAGATCTATCGACTGTTAAAGTCCTGCTACAAAAACCTGAAACACCCTGTATAAGCGTCATCAGGTACGACTAAAAAGTTGTAAAAATATAAAATGTAATTGAAATAACAAAGAAAGTTATTTATAATTAATTACCGTCAAGAAACCATCAGAGGGATAACGACGAGACGATCGGTGACATTCCCACGAAGGTGAAATATAATTAAATTGAAATATTCACAGTGGACAAAAAAGGGAACAAAAACATTAAAAATGTAAGGGATAAGTCTATCTTTTTCTTAGAAAAACACTTTTTAAATAAATAAAAGAAAGTTCCCCTGACTGTTTTTGCCTGACAATTAAGAAACAAAAACATAATATCTAATTCGACAAAAACAAACTTAATTTATCCGAATTGATAAATAAAAAATAATAAATATTCGAGTGAACACGTTGCTTGGCCAAACATCACGTTGGTGATACACCCTAAATAGTAATTTCTACACTTTTAGGGAGTACTAAAGAATACTTTAGGAGAACGAAACAAATATTTTGATTGTGGAGTATAACTGGGTTCCTATTTTTTGCCCTGTTAAAAAATGTTATAATATTTAGGATGTTCAATTAAAAAAACAAAGGGTTATTTTCCGAATAATCTAAAAGTGATAAACAATAATTTATGCTGAGTTAATAAAAAATAAAAATCGACGTGTTGAAGACGACATCTCGAACCGTTTTCATATTAAACAACGCGGGGTTACTTTTGATGGGGACGTACTATACAGCGTGTCCCGTATCTTCCGCATCAGAGCATTATACGATTGTAGGATACATTATTCTGAAGCGATCTTTCTAACAAAATTTTCCCGAAATGTTTATAATAACCGTACGGGAACTGTTTAAACAACTGTTTTTCCTCCAATAGCTTCGGGAAACGCCTTCGGAGATCGTAAATCACACTCAGGCAATCGGTTTCACCCCCGGCCGGTCCACCGCGCTGTTCTAAACTAGTTTCGCACCAATAGATTCGACACGGGAAGAGAAATAAACTTTTCGCGAAATTGAAGTGAATCATTTCGGGAAAATTTTATTAGAAACATCCCTTCAGAATAATGTATCCTACAACCGTATAATACTCTGATGCGGAAGATACGGGACACACCGTATAAACAATTAACGAATTTTTTGATTATTTTGATTGGTCGTTATTATTGTATCAGTATTTGAACCTGTATTATCGAATAGATGTGACCAAAAATGTTAAACTTAAAAATAGAACAATATTCTGAACATTTTGTTTAGAATAATGAACAAAAGACGATATTTGCTGAAGCGATAGTACAATAAATGAAACATAATTTAATAAAAATTGTAGATCAAATTTATTAAGTTAATTATAACAACGTCTACATGACACCTACATCAATTATCATTATTTCGCAATATTTGTAAAACATGACGTATCTCCTCAAGATCTTTTTCGTCCATATCACCAGATCGTACAAAAATTTCAGCGGATTCTAAAGCTGTTTTTAACTTTCCATCCAAACCAGCGCATTTCAAAATAACTTTTGCTTTCTGGTTATTTGCAGAGAGTGTCCATAAAATTACAAGAGCAATATGAAATTCTTCTTTGTTTTCAAGCGATATTAATAATTTACTTATTAATCCCAGAAATTCAACACATGCCAACAATCGCGGTTTGTTTGACGAACAAAACGAAAAGTTTCTTAAGATTTTTATAGATAAGATTCTATTCTCCGCATTACTTTCAGAAATTGTGATCAATATTTGTAGTAGTTCTGGAAATCGGTGGATTACTGTTTGTCCTTCCGGATAGGATGAATAGATATTTAGAAATTCCAACCAAAACAACTGGACTTGTTTCCACGATTTTTGATGTTTCGTCATTGAAGGATGTAACTTTGATGAAAAAGCCAATAAGTTAGTTTTCGCTATTATAGTTCTGCAGTCGTCGGAAGAACATGAATTGTGTAATATCTGAAAAGAGTATTTTAAAATGGCCAAATTATGTGTTTTGCTAATAAATTCCATTTCGCGTAAAATAACGTTAATAATTAAGTTAATAAGCGTATTTGTGCTAGAAAGTTTTTTTGATGTGAAATTTGATAGAGCTAATTCATTGCATGCTAAAACATAAAAATAATAGAATACAGATAAAATTTTTAAAATTGTTATTAATGTACCAGTTTCATATTGAGATGTTAAGGTGCATATCGTTTTTAGAGTATCGCTTAACAAATCAGTACTTGCAGATATCCAATTCCAATTTTTATGTATTAAGCTAACAAATCCTAGTTTAATTATAAGTGTTTTAGCATCGTCATAATCCGTTGATAAATTATTTAAGAGGTGTAAATAAATTGAAAATTCCGTTAAACTTTCAATTATTTGTTTTTTCTTCCCGGTTTTTCTAAGTGATCCAACATCCTCGAGACTTAACTTGAGTTCAATTTTCTTCATTAACTTCATTACGAGAGAAACACAACCAGCTTTTAAACCACAAATCTTAGCTACATTTGAAACACTCATTAATCCAGTTATAACATTTAAAAGCAGCTCTTTTGTTTTCTTTTTTGAACTGGAGTTATTTTGAGTCATATTATGCAATAAATTAAATAATTTGGATATCAATTCATTTGAAACCATTATATCTTGTAAATCAATCAGTGTAATCAAATTTTTTAACGCCCATTCTAACAGGTCTAAGAAAAATAGTGTTAATAAAATAAAGACGATTAGGAGTTTCTTTTTATAATCTTACCTTTAGATTTAATATCGCTTAAAGAAATACATAAAGTTTCTAAATAATCTTGATTAATTACATTCTTAATCATCTCAAATTGATTATGTTCTTGTGATTCTTTATGAGAGACATAATATATAATTGTCAATAATTGGAAAATTTTTGTCCACAATTTGTTACGAAGATATATAAAATCTTTCAACTCGTTAACTAAAAAAGTTGAATGAATTCTTTAATGTGATTATCTTTAATATTGCAATTATATATCGTACAATACAAATTTTTGTTTAAGAAAGATCTAACCGAGAAAATAACCTCTTGCGTATTTATTTGAATTTGAAGTCCATTTGTTTCGTAAAGTTGAATCAAAAAGTTACAAACAGCAATATCTAGTTCTATGACATACCGATAATGCTCCAAATCTCTGGTTGTTGATAGTTTTTGAGTGTTTGGTACGATTAATAATCTAAAAAAATATATGTATATATTAGTATGTTAATTTATTAATATTAACAAATATCTCAAGAAGTAAGTTCTAGGAAATTGAGTTTTAACAAAGTAAATTTATGCAACATGGATATTTTCAATTGTAAAATAAAATGTTCTTTCCAGTGCACAACAAAAAAAATTTTTTGTTGTTGCCCTGGATATCTTTGCAAATTTTCATGTTTTCAAGTACCCAGATTACGAATGTATTCATGAAAGTACTGAATGTGCTTTTGTTTTCTATGATTTTTACATATCTTATATTTTGAACAATTATCTTGGCTTGTTAGTAATAAAATTTATTTTCCCAGTGATGATTAGGCTTCTGCGCAACTTTTTTCGCGCATACAAACATCACGTGATCCCTACTCTCAGACCCCTTGCCCCCCGGGACAACAGCTGAGCTCTCAATTATTTTACAATATTGAAATACTTACACGTGAATCTGAATAAGTTGTCATGTGTTAATATTTTGTTTCAATTACTGAATGTTCATTCTAATATATTTGTCTTGTCTTTTAAAACATGAGTTCGTCACGAAGAAAGTATAAATATAATAGTGATTTATTTTGTTATATTTGCGGCATTGATATAACAAAAAAGAAATATCACAAGCTTTGTCGAGGAGACTTATGTTGAATATTTCGGTTTTAAAATGGACAAACTAGATAAATCATAGGTTCCTCATAAAGTTTGCAAGTCCAGTGTTGAGTCTTTACGGTTGTGGAAAAAAGGAGAATGTTCTGGATTAAACTTTGGTATTCCTATGATCTGGATGGAGCCTAAGAATCATTTCGATGATTGTTACTTTTGACTAGTAGATACTAAAGGTTTTAATCGAACGTTTCAAAAGTAATTCGCATGCCCTGAGAAACAATGATATTGCCAAATTCACAGAAATCGGGACAGTCTGCCACTGGAAGTGAATAGGAGAGTGAAACATCTACGCCGAAGTTATTTTCTCAAAATGAACTCACAAGGAAAGTATCAGAACTGCCCCTCACCGATTTTGCTGAAATTTGGTACAGGCGAAATTTGGCGAGTTATAAGGGTTGAAAATCGGGGCGAAATATATATATTCGCTTATAGGCTGAAAACGAAAATAGCTATCGAAATGTGGTAAACGTAAACTGATATTCATTTTCAAAGAGCTTTCCATGGATATATCACACATATATCTGAGGGCTTCAGGGGGTAAACTACCCCTAGTTTTTTGGAATATTTTAAAAACTACCCTGTCGATTTTGGCGATATTATGTATCCTTATAGTACGTTTAAAAATATTAATGACGTGCTTTTCTTATTGGCCTCTGACCATCCCCTGCAAAGATACGGGGTATGATAGATAACCCCTTTCCTTAAGAATAATGTGATAAACTGTTACACTTTTGAACAATATTTTGAAGAAAACCATTAATTAGATGTAAATTAAGATTTCCGCAGTAAAATAAACCCTATACGACATTAAGGGGTGGCTGGGGTTAACTACCCTAACACCCCAAAATTTTTTTTTTTTGCGAAAATTGTCGATTTTGGCGCAATTTCCCACGATGATTTTTTTATACGTTAGGTAGTACTATTGTAAGAACTTACAAGGGTTAGAAGTTTGGGGTAGATAATATACCGAGTGTCCCTCAGAAGTGGCTCACCCCCATATTTTTGTTTATTATTAGTGATATAAGAAAACCATTTGGAATGCATAATTAGGCCGTTAAAACGGATTATTACGACATGAAATCATACTCTTTGTACTTCCGGTTATACCGGATGTGAGTACTAATTTCGCTATTTTTTTAAATCTATAAATTTTTTTTTCTTCAGTTGAGTAGGCACAATTTCACATAACGTTTACTTGAAAAAATTTTCACGATCGCTTATAATTTTTGAAAAAGTATTAGTATCTTTGGAAAATGTATTACTACCGTATTTTCTCGAATCTTATCCGCACTCGAATCTAATCCGCACCTCGATTTTAAAAATGCAATGATGGTAAAAAAAGTTGGTTTGCCAGTGTAATCCACATCCGATTGTAATCCGCATTTGATTTTAGAGCATACAAAATTTGTAAAAAGGGTGCGGATTAGATTCGAGAATATACGGTACTTTTGACGCATAATAGCTAGGTTAATAGTATAAACTACGTTATGTTCCTCTTGATTTGCTATTTCTCGAGCAGTGATCACTGCCACGCTTTAGTCAGCGATTCTTTTTTAATAATGGTGTAAATTAACAGTTGTATTAAATTAGTTTTAAAAGAAAAACGCGAACAAACAACTAAATTTAATTCAATTATTTTTGATCTTTTATTTTTTATTTTTTGTTCTTTTACACTAAATGTTGTGTAGCTGATGGTAAATTACAATGTATAATGGACGTACATTATGGTTTGGATTGTTTACTTTATTTTGATTAAAACCTATCAAGGTGGCTATGGAAAAAAAATTGCTAGCAATTTGACATAACGTAAATTAAGTAACGTAATTAAGTTGATTAGTTGACAATATTTGTTAATTTCAATTTAAATTATGGAAAAATTCACGCAAATCGAAAAAGTAGATATGATATTAATATTTGAAGAATGTAGATAAAACGCAGTTGCTGCTGTTAGACGTTACGCGCAGAGATTTCCTGGCCGTCGCCACCCAACAGGGCACTACTTTCCAAAAATTGTGGCGAAAATTCAAACAGAGCCGGTCAATAATGGAAACCCTAGATACATTGTAAGTGGCGATACGGAACGAAATGTTTTGGCATGTATCGAAAATAACAACAGTGCATCAGTTAGGGAGATTGCGATACAGTGCGAAATTTCAAAAACGTCGATGTGGAGGATTTTAAAAAACCATAAACTTCGTTCTTACAAATACCAATTACATCAACATTTGTACGAGAATGATTATGAAAGACGACTTCCGTATTGTAATTGGTATTTAAAAAGATATGAAAACGATAATGCATTTCCTTTCAAAATTCTGTATACAGATGAAAGTCGATTTACTAACTTGGGTATGTTTAATCGAAATAATAAAAGGTATTGAGCACAAGAAAATTTATATTTGATGGAGGAAGGCAATTTCCAAGAAAGATTTGGTTTTAATTGTTGGATGGGAATCATTGGAGAAAGAGTGGTGGGTCCAATATTTTTTGATGGTCGTCTTACAGGGGAAAGATACCTCAACTTCCTTAATAATGGAATTGAGGATTTGCTGCAGAACCTACCAGTTGGAACTTATAATGGACTAATTTTCCAACAAGACGGCGCCCCACCTCACAACAGCAGAGTGGTTACTGATTTTTTAAGCAGAAAGTACAATAACGATTGGATTGGTAATAATGGACCAATAAAGTGGCCACCACGGTGAGAACAAACCGGTTCTTTCTCACATTTCTCCTTATTCCTATCTTTTTACCTTCCAGATCACCTGACCTCACACCTTTAGATATTTTTTTATGGGGCAAAATAAAAAATGAGGTGTATAATACACCTGTAAGGTCTCGTGAGGTATTAGAAAATCGTGTTAGAAACTGTATTACCCAAATATCTCCGCAGGAATTATGTCGAGTTTTTAGATCGACAATACGGAAGATACAATTATGTCAAAATCGAGGCGGGGTGCATTTAGAAAATTAGTTTTTTTGTACTTATAATTGAATTAAATTTACTTGTTGTTTCGAGTTTTTCTTTTAAAACTAATTTAATACAACTGTTAATTTACACCATATTAAAAAAGAACCACTGACTAAAGCATAGCTGATCGAGAAATAGTAAATCACGAGGAACATAACGTAGTTTATACTATTAACCTAGTTACTATGCGTCAAATATAGTAATACATTTTCCGAGTGAAAATTTTTTCATGTAAAAGTTATATGAAATTATGCTGTCTGCCCAACTGAAGAAAAAAAAAAATTATAGATTTAAAAAAATAGCGAAGTTAGTACTCACTTCCGGTATAACCGGAAGCACAAAGAAAATGATTTCCTGTTGTAATAATCCGGTTTAACGGCCTAATTATGCATTCAAAATGGTTTTCTTATATCACTAATAATAAAAAAAAATATGGGGGTGAGCCACTTTTGAGGGACACCCGGTATCTTCGCTAATAACTTTTATACTCCTACAGAAAAATGTTTTTTATCCTTATTCTATTTAAAAAACACAAAAGTAAGGATAATTATATAACTGAAGAAAAATGGTTGACTATCACAAATTGTATTCTACATTATTAATTTAATTTCTTTTTTTTTACTTTTTTAATTCAATATATTGTTGGCAATAATGAAAATCATGGAAAAAATGTTTTAAACACAACGATTGTTTACACCATGCACAAGTTATAACAGCTATATTATGTCCACAGATAACGCACGTAGGTTTTTCATTGGAAAAGCAAACCTCCACGGGATTTTCAAACTGTTCTGGTCTTTCCTCTATATATCCTGATGCAAACCAGGCGTATTTAAAAACATTAATAAATCGTGGGGAGAAAACTGGTTATGCGTTAAGGATTAAAATTTTAAAATATTATCTCGCTGATGCAAATTGACATCGTACTGGTAGAGAATAACTTGATCAGAAAATCTTTTAATGAAATTTTTCCATATTCTAAAACCAAATACATCCAGGGATTGAATTTGTCCTGTTGTCATTGCAGGTATAGACAAATATTTAAACTTAACATCCGATGGAGTTACTTCACTAATAATTTCAGAAACCAGTAATAGTAATGATTTGGGTCCGGTGTTTGGGAAATAGACATTTTGTAGCCAATTTTTCAAATTGAGCAGAAGTCAGCAGAAGTCAAAAAAAAAAATGTTTGGGGTGTTAGGGTAGTGGACCCCAGCCACCTTTAATGTCGTATAGGGTTTATTTTACCGCGTAAATCTTAATTTACATCTAATTAATAGTTTTCTTCAAAATATTGTTCAAAAGTGTAACAGTTTATCACATTATTCTTAAGGAAAGGGGTTATCTATCAT